CCATCCCATCCTCACCCCCACCCTGCTGCTGCTGTTTCTTGAGATCTGCTGTGTGCCCGAGGTCCCCCTTAGCTGTGTGCTTCCCCGTTTCTGACCCCCAAGAGCTGCCAAAGCAGGAGCTTACCTGTGTCAGCTCATCTTACAGAGGAATACATTTTGGCACAGAGAAGCCAAGGGGCTCGCCCCGAGTCACACAGCCAGGGAGCAGCAGCCAGACAGCCAGCTTTGCTCATTTCTGACTGCAGTGAGCTCAGAAGGCCTGATGCCTTGCACCCAGGAGCTCCCAGGGCCATTGTTCCTGACCAAATGCTGTTCCCGAAACAGATCTCAGCTCAGGAGGTCAGGGTGGCCTTTCTCACGCCTGGCAGTGTCTGTGCTGCCGACCCATGCATGCATATCTGTGGGGGGGCACTGCCCGGCCATAGGAAACACAAACTGGGAACAGGGGATGTTCTGTCCCTTGGGCTCAGTGCAGTTCCAGCTGTGGCCTTGCTGGGGTGAGTGCCAAGGTCCCACCAGGAACTCTGCAGCTCAGGAAACCTGGCTGGGCTGCCTGTGGGCCAGCTAGGACCAGCCTCCAAGGTCATCCAGTGAGCACTTGTCCCTGTGCCTCAGATGGCTGGGTCCCCCCAGGGAGGGCCCTAAGGGCAGCCACTACCCCACTGCCGCTACCCACCCATGGGCCTGGTGACCAATAAAGTGAATCCCCCAACAACTCTGGGCTGGGAGAATTTTCCAGCTCTTTTCCAGTGTTCTGTGGTCCCAACTAGCCCAGATTCCACACTAGTGGGTAGATTGCCACTCACCTGCCCCTGCCCCAGAACCCTTGCACAGCCTAAGGGCTTCTCCTCATCTGGCCTCGATTCCTTGGAACTGGAGTTACAGACAGTTGTGAGCTGTCATGTGGGTGCTGGGAATTGAACCCAGGTCCTTTGGAAGAGCAGCCAGCGCTCTTAACCTCTGAGCCATCTCTCCAGCCATCCCCCCACACACACTAAAAATCTTAAGATTTGTATTATTTTATATCAATGGATGTTTTTCATGCATGAATATATGGGTGAGAGCCTGATGTCTGTGGAAGCCAGCAGAGGGCATTACATTCCATGCCCTGGCACTGGAATTATGGATTATTATGAGCCACGATGTAGAGATGGGAATTGAACCTAGGTCCTCCGCAAGAGCATAGGTGTTCGGAACTGCTGAGCCATCTCTCCAGCAGCCCAGCCCCCCCTTAAAGATGTATTTATTTTTAATTTCTGTGTATGAGTTTTTAGCCTGCCTATACGTATGTGTACCATATGTGTGCTCGGTGCCTGAGGAAGCCAGAAGACACTGGATTCCCTGGAACTGGAGTTACAGACAGTGGTGAACCACCACAGGGGTACTGGGAATTGAACTCAGGTCCTCTAAAAGAGCAGCCAGTGTTCTTAACCACTGAGCCAAGGAGACTTTCTTCAGGCCTTGTTTGATGGGACTGGAGAGATAGCTCAGCAGTTGAGAGCACTTGCTACTTCTGTAGAGGACCTAAGTTCGGATGGCAGCACCCATGTCAGCCAGGTAACTCCATCTCTACAGGATCACACACACACACACACACACACACACACACACACACACACACACACACACACACACACACACACACAGCACACATTCACATGCACTTACACATTCTTTTTAAAAGAGAAAGCAAGCCTTGAGGGGGTCTGAGCCGCATGCAGACATTTGCTGTCTCCTGGCGCCCCCTGGTGGCCATCATGTAGCACTGTAAATCACTTTCTTCTCTTCCAGCCTGTTCCTACAGGGAGGGATGCCACCGACCCTTGTCATGGTGTGAGCTCCTAAGGTCCAGCTCTTGGTCCTTGTGCGCCTGTGGCTGGGTGATCAGGTGAGTGGCAGGCATCCTGCCGGCCGTTGTGTGCATTGTGATTTTCCTAAAGCTACTCATGGTTAACAGCATCACCACTGCTTGCTGCCTAGGTGCCCTGAGCCTCAGTTTCCCATGTACACAGTGGTACAATAGTGAGAGTCAAGAAAACCATCAATCAACACAGATTTTGTGTGTTTATGTGTGTGTACACGCGTGTGTGAAGGCCACAGGTCAACCTCCATATTGTTCCCCAGTCGCTATCAACATTTGGGGTTTTCCTTTCAATTATTATAATTTATTTATGTGGGGGGGGGCATGTACACATGTCATAGCATGTGTGTGGGGGTCAAAGGACAATTACTGTAGTTTTCTCTCTTTCTATCATGTGGGTCCCAGGGATCGAACCTGAGTCATCAGGCTTGGTGGCAGGCGCCTTTACCCGCTGAGCACATCTCGTGCGGCGTCTTGTTTTTGAAGCAGGGTCTTTCTGTCCTGAGGCTCGCATGAGTAGGTGAGGCTGGCTGGCCAGCAGGACTCAGGGATCCACCTGTCTTCACCTCCCCAGTGCTGGGATTTCAGCCGGGCACCACCACACCTAGCTTTTTTTTGACCTGGGCGCCAGGGATCATACTTAGGTCCTCATGCATGTAAAGCCAACGCTCTACCCACTGCGCCATCTCCCCAGGCCACCCTTTCAATGAGCATCACTGTCCTGATGACCTGGGGTATGTCTCCAGCAGAATACAGAATGACGCCCTCAACCCCACAGGGCACGCTGGGAAAACACTAAGCTTCTGTTTCCCTCCCTGTGGGGCGCCACCTTGTCTATGCCGCTTCTTAGCGACAGTGAGCTCCCCAGTTTCGGAACACCAAGTGGTTTGGGAGGGCTCCATGAGAGAATGTCCAGCACCTAAGTTCTGCTCCTTGACAGAGAGGCGAGGGGCAGTTTGCTCTGGAAATCTGGGGGTCCCCTTCACCCCACAGTCAACTGGCCCCTCAGGGTCCTACTCCAGGACTTGAGGAGGAGGCTGTAGTGGCAGCCAGAGAGCACAGAACTGGAGAAAGGAAAGACAAGGATGAAGCCAAAGTCTGTGGTGGTGTCACCCCCCATCTATGGCAGACCCCACACGTCCTGTCCTGTGGCCCCACAGAGCCCCACAAGCTCCTGGGCCTGAAAACTGTCACAAACCCAAATAAGGCATCCGAGAAGGTGCTGGGGACGGTGGCGTCCACCTGTAATCCCAGCACCTGGGCCATGCAGGAATTCTAAACCAATTGGGTAACATGAGGCAAAGGGGATCTGGGGCTCATGGTGGCGTGCACCTTTCATTTCAGCACTGAAAGGCAGAGGCAGGTGGATCTCCATGAGTTTGAGCCCAGCCTGATCTAAATAGCAAGTTCCAGACCAGTGAAGGCTACATAGTGAGACCCTGTCTAAAGACAAACAACAAAACACATGAGAATCGGAAGACAGAGCTGAGGGGTTCTCTAGAAGATGACAAAAGAAAATAGGAGTGGGGGGAGGGTGGGTCTAGGCAGTCCCACACTTAACTCACAAGCCAGAGGAAAGAGGCAGAGAGAAGAGTACACACCTAGGTGTTCCCCAGAACCACAGGGGCAGCCAAGACCCCTGGGGACCAGCACAGGGCAGGATTAGCCAGGCTGAGTCTGAGACCCAGGGCTAAACTTCGCTCTATGGGGTAAATTAAAGTCACTTAAACCCAGACACAGGAGAGTGGAGCCCATGGGCAGCCACTTTGGGAGGTGGGGATGTTAGACGGGGTGAACCCAGCCTAGCCATTGTTCCACGTCAGTCTAGAAGGTGTAAACTTCAAGCAGCATGAATGGGGACAAGGAGGGGTGGGGCACAGGACATGGTGACGTGACTAAGCGGGGCTAGGTCCTGCAAAAGTCACAGACCCTTCATCTCGAGCAATAAAATATCCAGCCTCATAATCTAAGCTGCACAATGAAGGAAGCATACTGCCCAGGAGAGGAACACAGGCTGCGAGCCCCAAGCTAACAGGAAGCAAAGGGTTACCCCTCACCTCTGATTTATGGGGTTGCATGCCTAGAACAAGCTCCTCCACAGCCTCCTGGACTTTCCAGAAAGCCACCGGAGCTGAGAGACTTGCCCTCGGTGCCTCTCGAACGGCCCAGGCTGTCCGTCCTTCTTCCGCAGGGCCGTGGGATCACCACGTCTTCCCTTCGGGGTCTGTGTCTTTGTCTGTGCTTAGGCAGCTGACAGCTGAGGAGCCACTGGGTCCTCAGGGTCTGTGGGGCTTGTGCCCGCTACAAGAGCCAGGCTGCTCAGCCACGAACGCTTTCCCCGCTGCGCCGGCAGCTGACTGGGTCCCATGGGACACCTTTTGGTCTCATACCCAGGCCTCATCCCCTTCCCACCAGTCCTGGTTGCCCTGTATGGTGAAGCCTCCCAACATCCCAGGAGGGACACAGGCAGGGTCACAGCTAAAGGCCTCAGGCTAGGAGCTGCACAGTGGGCCAGGCATGCTGTGTTTCTGTCAGGAAAGTCACCATGAGCCTCTCAGAGTAGCATCTGTACAGCACACCCAAGGCTGGGCCATTTTGGTCCATTTTGGGTCCTTCCTCATGTAGCCCCCTTCCTTTTCTTTCTTTCTTGGGTGTGGGGAGTTGAGACAGGGTTTCTGTGTACCCCTGGCTGTCCTGGAACTCTCTGTAGACCAGGCTGGCTTTGAGCTCACAGAGATCTGCCTGCCTCTGCCTCCCAAGTGCTGGGATTAAAGGCGTGCACCACCACCGTCCAGCTCGGAAAGGTTTTTAATAGCATTTGTTCATGTTTGGGTAGGCAGACTGGCCTCAAAGGCACAGCAATCAATCCTCCTCCCCAAGGGCTGAGGTTACAGATACCAGCTTCTATGCTCAGCTTTAGTTTTTATTTTAAAATAAACTAAAAAAATTTTTTTTTCACCAAGGCCATTCAGGAGAAAGTTAAGGGGTCTCAGAGTAAAATCCTAGCCAGGGAACAGCTGCAGAGGTGACTCTGGGAACTGCGCCCAGATGCCCACATCCCGTCACAGGCACACAGCAGTTAGATTCTGGAGAAAAGGCAGGCAGGCCACCCAGGAAGAAGAGGGCTGCAGGAGGTGAGAACTGTGGACGGGTCACTTTATTTCATATAAAATCACACTGAGGAGTTGAAAAGTCAAGTATACTCAGCTTGGATTCACCGCCACAGATTCCACACTGGAGGATGGCACCCCAGAGCCTGCATGCCCAGACACATGTGCAAAGGAATGCAGAGACAATCTGAGGGCGCCCCAGTTTGCTCACTGCATTAGGGCTAGGCTCACAGGTCCTGGGGTTCCCCTCGGTGGCACAGAAGCCCAGAGGAGGCCGGGTAAAAGCGACTGACATGGCCAACAGTCATGGTATCACAGGACAGAAAGGCAGCTGGTCCCAACAGGGACACACGGTGTCTGCACGGGAGCGGACTCGCAGCAAGTCCCCCGCCTCTGTCAGACCGCTCTCACTCAGCGGCAAAGGAACAACCTACAAGTTTAAGGCAAGTCCCCGAGGGGAGCTGTGTGTGGACTGCCGTATTCGAAGCCGCACCCAGGGTGCACTCTGAGCGCAGCGCCACGGTGGAGAAATCAAGTCATCAGTCACTGCTCTGACAGCTTGGGCACCGGGCTGGCCCCTGCAGCACCTGCCCAAAGGGGCCAAGGCGGCTCGCCCCTCTCATGCTGAGCTCCCACGGCCCCCTCCCCACAGTGCTGGGCCTCAGCACAGGGCGCCACCTTCCTTGTTGAGGGACTGTTGCATGCTGTCAGTTTGGCCGGAACAACAAGACCTCAGCTCCACGCCCTCAAATACTACTTTGAGTGAAATAAAAGCAGGAGGCCGGGCCCATGTGCAGGCATGCCTGTTCTTTGGATCTGGACACTGTATGATACATTCATAGAAGGCCAGCGAGGGCCAGCAGTGCGTCCCACTTCCCTGAAACACTGGAGTCGGAAAGACAGCTTGTCTACCACACACGTGCCTGAACAACACTGCTGATTCTGGCACATGCGTGCGCGCGCACACAGACACACACACACACACACAGACACACACACAGATGAGCACGTACAGACTTGCTGGAAGGGTCAAAGGATGCCCATTCCGGACAGCAGGGAGTGTTCTGGAAGCCGTCTTCACTGTTCAGTGCTAGGGGTTGGAGCCCTCCAAGCCACAGAGTCTCTGTGGAAACCCTTCTGGAAAGGGAGCGTGCTGGGGGCGGGCCAGCAGGCCTGCCAGCAGCTGCTGCTCTGCGGCTTTCTTCACGACTGAGAAGCAGCTCTGCCTGTGGGATGCTCTCGGCCCACGTGGCATCCCAAGTGTCAGGATGGTGACAGGATGGCCTCCTGGGGCTGCATGCTTCTCCTGGCAGTACACACAAAAACTGACAAGGCCCCGTGGCCCCGTAGCTGCTCCCGGCCTCGTCAGCTGGCCAGCTCCATCTGCCCACCAGGCTGCTGTCTGCAGGCCAAGGAGCATCAAGATGTCTGCAGACGTCCCGGCCCCGAAGGCTCACACAGAGAACTCAGGGCCCCCTTTCCTAGCCCTCACTTGCAGCCGTCTGAATCGGAAGCCAACAAAGGGGTTCATCCAGAGGAGGGAGGGGGGGCCCCCGAAGACAGACTTCATCCCTTCCCACCGCAGTCTCCGCTCCCACGTCGGTTTCTCGCTCTTGAGCCTCTCGATCTCCTGGAAGCAGAAGAAGTCACAGTGGCAGTGAGGAGCGACCCACAGCCAGCTTGCTGCTCAGTCACACAGCTCAGCACGAGTCTGCTGCCAGGCCTCCAGAGCCTGTGTGGACCTGGGCACTGTGAGTGCTCCTCCCTGTCTCTCTCACACACAGCCAGGCTGCAGCCATCTGCATGGACCAGCCGCAAAGTCAGCCTGTTGCGGCTCTTGATGGCAGTGGCCCTCTGCATGGGACCAAGCCCTTGCTTGAATTCCTACTCAGTCCTGTATTTACACAGCACCTACTCCAGGCCTGTAAGGGTAGGAGGGTAGTTGAGTTCCTGAGACCCGCTGAGCATTCTGACCCAGGGCCTGCTTGGCCTAACTGACTTCCATCAATCCAGGACCCAGAGACAACACTGTGCCAATGGAGGGAGCAGCAAAACACAGGCCTGTGGGGTCCGAGGCTGTCCAAGACTCCAGATCAGACCCCACCCCTGCAGACACAGAGCAGTGTCCAAGACTCCAGATCAGACCCCACCCC